GGCTAAGGTCTGTTGGAATATTCTTTTCGATCCTGTTCTTGATTCCGATTCGTCTGTTGGATCTGGGACGCAAGGTCCTTCAAGATACGAGAGGCGCCAGACTCGTGCTTCGTGTCTGTGCTATTTTTCTTCGTTTTCGTCGATTTTCTTTGCTTGTGAGTATCTTCTTCGTCATCCGAGTCATCATCATCTGACTCTTTGTCTGAATCGTCGGATTCATCGACTGCTCGAACAGAGAGTTCAAGGCTTCAAAAAACGAAGACGGCTGCGTCTCGGATCTCGCTGTAAGTATATGGATCTTCGCCGTTGTGGAGTGGCAGTGAAACCACTAATCGATTATAGATCTGTTTCCATATCTTGGATGGAAATCCGTCTCTGAAGTGACGATCGATCTTGCCTTGGGCCATCTTAGTCTTGGCTTTCAACCACAGCTTCAGAAAAAATTAGACCTACTCATTGTACTTTGGAGTACTTTTTAGTACTCCTGAGTGCTCAAAAGTACAATTAGTAGGTCTAATTTTTTCTGAAGAGAGCGATGCGGTTAAATGGACGATCGTACTGGAAGAAATCAGCTAGGTTCTTCATCGACTTCCTTTTCTGAGAAGAGACTCATTTTATGAGGTCGGATACTTTGAATTTCTTCTCAGCATCAATCTCGTAGTGACTGAGGATCTGCTGATTATATTGGGCCCAATCATTCGATTTGAAACCAGGTAACTGTTCCCAAAGCTCTCTCGTCTTCTTCTCACCATATTTAACCACGCTTCAACATTTCAGAGCCTCTGACAAATTTACACGCAATGCGTGCAACTCAAATTCGTCAAGGAAGTCATGAATATGCGTAGATGATCCATCGGATTCTGGAGCTCCTCTCGTGTGAGTAATCGGCATCGAAAGGGCGCTCTGAGGGAGCATAGGTATGCCCTGGCCCTGTGGAAGTGGTTGCTGCAGCCCTTGGGGCTGGAGATTGTTCCCCTTACCCATATTTGATGGCTGACTTTGATTTATGGAAGGTGGAGTGGATCTGATTTGTTTCTGAGGGATGGGATGTCTGATTTGATTTGATTGTGACACTAATACTGTACAGGAATACGAGAAGGTACTGTTTGTTCTCGTTGCCCGGTTCGTCTGTAAGCGAGATTATCTGGGTCGGTCCTTGTAAGGATGCGAGAAGGAGCGTCTCCTGACCCGTCTAGCGGACGAAGAGACTCCTTTGCTTGCCGTGATGTCTGTGAACTCTTCTGATGCTTATGAATTTGAATATTGATGATCTGAGGAGAATGATGGTACAGAACAGGCGCACCTATGCCTGTCCTGCATTGGTCACCACTTATTGAAGTTCAAAGATGAACTCTTTGAACTGATGGGGCAGGTTCTCGGATTCGGACTGTAGATAATATGAACATATACTTTGATAAACTGTCATCCACACTCATCGTCGACCGTGCGCTCGACCTTACTCTCGACCCATATCAAGGACGACTTGCATTTCACTTCACAATCAAGCTTCTTACAAATCTGGAAACCGATAGTTCGATGGATTGAAGGGTTATGGAGAGTTGGGAGCCCAATGGTGCGTTGCTAATTTGTCATTTTCACTACTCTCACTAACTTCACTTTTCCTTAATCTGCGATACCTCGGTCCGCTTCGTCCCCTATCAGATCGCTCGTACTCGTAGTCCCTCGCCTTCTTTCAATCTCCTCGACCCAACTTACGATCATGCCGCTGCACGTCATCGATGTCACCGTTCGCATGAGATCTCTCGCAGCAATCTCAGACTCCCTCTCAACTAGCGCAGCCGACGTTGCGCGTGGGTCAAATTGCGCTTG